TTTTTTTTTTTTCTTTTCAGGATTGACCAAAATTGTTTCAATACTGCGAACTAAAAACGTGTAAATTTGACAATGAAAAAAAATGTAACACTATTGACTGTAAGTTATATTTTGGTATTCTGAAATCTCATTTCATCGGCTAGTTTGTTAAGATTTCAAAAATAAAACTTTTCTTTAGTAAAATACTTAGAGGTAAATATAGATTTACGCCAACAGTTAACTACCGTTCTGTTTGTTGCAGTATATCCCACAGTCAACTTATCAAACTGAATGTTCGTTTAATTGCTGCACAGTTAAGCTACAAAAAAAAAAAACAACGGTTTAATGGCACTGCCTATAGAAATCGTATAACCTATCCACTGAATTAATTTAACTTAAGGTTATGATCAAAAACTTGATTAGGAATATTTGACACTGACGTCCGTCTGTCTTCAGAAATTTCTCTACTGCTACACGTGTTCAGAGTTCCTGACTCAGGAATAAGCATTCAATTTTAAACACTCTTGACTTTACATTGAGCAGTTTTGGTTGAAAATCAAGAAATAGAAGAAAACAAAATTTAGTATAAGAATTTTCGTTTTAAAAGTTGTTTCTTTTTTTAGTTATGAATAACTGCGAAATATCAACCTGTAATTGATTATTAAGAGTGTAAAACAATTTGAAAAGTGTAAGCTGAAGTTGCCTTAATGCTCCTGTTTGCAAAGTAAAAAAAAAATATTGTATAAACAAATTGCCATTTCTTTGGAATTCCAAATCTATCATCTATACACTGTACCAATCATTTTTGAAAACTCTTACAAAACTGAAACCAAAACTCAGCAATCGTCGACCTTTCGTATCACCTATCGTAGATCCGTATTTGCAATCGCATTAAAAAACACCATTGGTAAAAAAATAAATTTAATGATTTGCATTTACTTCTTGAAAGCGGGAGATCAGAATAAGTAATTTTTTAAGCTGAAAAAAAAAGAAATTTTAATATAAATTTAAACAAGTCGATTTTATCAGATATTTAAAAACTTGACTTCGAAATAAATACCAAAAAACTAGCAATTTCAATTATCGTTTAAGCATTTTTTCTTTTTAATTTGCTGTTTAACAAAAACGATGTAAAAAAATAAATTAAGAGTTTTTTGTCGCAGCAAAAAAATAACTTTTTAGAATCCTAGTTTCTTGATTTGCGGACATACTTCAGAGGACAATAATCAGGGGCAGGAAGATTCTGCAACTGGTATGGCAAATATTCTCCAGCAATTTGAAGCAAATACCAATGAAGATGAAAGTCAACAAGAGGATTTAAATCTCTTTACCGCTTCATTACTTTGGTCTGAAAAGGAAGCTCAACTAGCTACTCTAGAATCCAAAGCCGGTGATAGCCTAGAAGATCTTTTTCGGCCGCAAGAAACAACCATACAAAGTTACGATGAAAACTACGAGGACATTTTGAGGCAAACATATGAATCCCCAGATTCTAGCTTAATAGAACAATTAAGCGATAAGACTGATGAAGCTGATGAAGGAGAGGTAGTCGTTGAATGCGAAGATAGCAAAAAACCGCTTGGAAATGAACAGAATTTGGAGGCCGCCATTGAACAACGTATTATCTTCTGTACCCTACAATATTTATTCATTCATTTTACCAGTAGTGACTTCGTAAGTTCATGCAAAGTTACCAATACAGATTTTAAACGTTCGAAGCTTACAGCTGTAGATTGAAAATAACGACTAAGTAGTATTTTGAAAAAAATTAATTATACCAAGCTTATCAGCTACAAATAAAAACAATTTATGCTCCAGCTTTTATATATTTTTCAGTATTCATCATTACTTACACAGTATTTCAAGAGTACTTTCAAAATTAATGACAACAATGTAATGACTTTTGCAGTTAACTGTAATTTGATAGTGGTACTAAAAGAGCTTCAACAAAAAGTTTTTTAAGATATACAAGTAGAGGTCAACAAATAAAAAAAAACTTAATTTTTCTAGAAAAAGATAAACTAATTAACTTATCAAAAACAAAACTTTTGAGTTGCTGAGAAAGCGATCGTTATTAATCGATACTGCAAGTTGATCATACAGTGGTAATTCAGTGCTTAACATTGATACAATATTGAAAGAAGAAGATGAAGCCGAACTTCGTAGAACAGAAAGTCGAAAAAGCCTTATCTCACTGATTCTGCCGCAGTCAAGTGATCAAAAATTGAGTGAAAAAGGTAATTAATAAACTGTTTAGGACTCAACTAAGTCTACATTACACCAGTTTAACAAACTTTTCCCTTATTAATTCAATGCTTTAATTGAAAATTTAATATGATGGCGAAAAAACCGTAAAAAATGCACCAACGATGCTAACTAGTTTGAGCAGTGATGCAGTGTAAACGTAATTTTACCTCTGTTCTTTAGCACAAATGCGAAATACTGTCGGAAAATTGTCGAAGAGTGTAAAAGTAACAAAATAATCAAACATTATGCTTTAGTTTGGTTAATTTAGACTTGGCAATAGAAAATCGGCAAGCTGTCCTCAGCATTGCCGTCGTTCCGGTAAGTATATTTGTACTCGTCACTAAAATCTATAAATTTTACGTTTCATTTTCACAAAAAATAAATTAGCAAATCTATAAGCTTATGTGAAACAAAACATTATCCAATAAACACCTACAAAAAGGCATACCTTCAACGACATAACTTTACAAGTGTAATTATAGCTGTTTTTCATTCCAGGTTAAGCAAAATGAAATTCGTTAAAATTAGCTGTTTACCTGAAACTTCAGTGGTAAATTTTAGTGTTTGACAAAAAGAAAAAGACTAAACAAATAACTGACGACCCAGTTAAAGTGTAACTAAAAAAATTTTTATAATATGTTAAAAAACAGTTACTTTATTCAGATTTCAAGACATTTTCAGCCTTAGCAGTTAGAAGATTTTTTAGTAGGCATAAATATAAAGCGTGCAAGAATTAGCTGTTAGTCAGTAAATTATGTGGAGAAAAAATGATACAGAAGCTTTAACTCGTGTTTTGCATATGATGCTTCTGTTTGACACTAGGTAGTTTCCTTTTTAGTTTCTCTTATCTTAAAAAAAACCAAGCAGTCCTAGAATTTATAAGTAT